GGAAATTCTATCCTAATTACTAGCCAATCACAAAATTTTAAATCAATTATATCCAAAATTTATTATGGGATAATCACATTATTTAAATCAATTATTATCCTTTTGGAATATGCTCATAATATCCTAACAAATCTTATCCAAAATTAATCACTTGGATTATGGATAATTACCAATTTAACAACTTTAAATATGGATAATATCAAATATAACAACTTTTGAATATTTGATTTTATCCTAAAATAAAAGATTTTATCCAAATAAAACCAATTTTATCTTTTAAAAATAAAAGATCATATTTTCAAAATATTTTATCTTATCCAAAATAAAACTGATTTTATCCCAAAATAATTCATAATTATCTTGAAATTATTTTCAAAACAATTTTTTTTTTTTTTGAAAATCGTGTACCACTACACCAGCCACCGTGGTTGGCCAGCCGAAGCTAGCCACGGTGGCTGGCTGCCAACAGCAGCCACTGCCGCAAGGGCAGCAGCGTGGCAGCAACACTGGTAGCCGTGGCAGCAGCCGTGCAACGCTTGCACACTGCTGCCCACAACCACCTTGGACCGCCGCCCTCCCCTCCCTCCCTCTTGGACTGCCACCAGGTCGGCAGCCGCCGTGGCTGCGCCACCCAGCCGCGGCTGCCGGCCTCAAAACTATTATTTTTATTTTTGTTTTCAATTTAATTAAAATAACATTTATTAAAATTAAATCAAATCAGTCCAAAAATTAAAATTAAATCAACATTCAATCTTAAAATTAGGGTTCATTATAAAATTAATCCCAATTTAATTTTAACTTCTAAAATTAAGTTGATCATCATACATAAAACATTTTTATGCATAAATCAATCCGATTAAAATTATGAATCATAAAATAAATCGAATTAAATCAAAATCAAGCACAAAAATCATATTTTAGGGCTAGGATTTTCGAAAAATTCGAAATTTAGGGTTAGGGGGTTCGAAAATTTTGAATGGTCTAGGGCTTAATTCGGTCCTCTTCATGGCTATTTGACCATAATTAAATCACATTTAATCGATTCCAAAAGTTTAATAACATTAAATATAACAATTGAACCATAATTAAATTATTCTCCCTCTTAATTGAATTAAAATTGTGGACTATCAAAGAATTATAGTCAATATGCGTAAATGCAATAGGCTAACTGATACCACTGTAAGGAATTATAGGTACTACGCAGCGGAAAAACATGAATCATATTCATACAGTACCTAATCCCAAGATCTAATGCATAACACATAAAGAACATATAATCGTACCTTTGAAGCGTGATTCCACGTGCGATCGAGCAAGAACAATGGGAGATAAAGAACCCCAAGCGTGATTCCTCTACTTAGTCCACGAGCATGGATTAAACCTCCACTAATGCTAGTTAGTTGTGACTGAACACTTCAATCAACCTTCAACGGAGATTTAAGCCACGAACACACCACAACACCACCCACGCACCACCACACGCGCCACCCGGGGAGGAGGGCCGTACGGACAGGGAGGAGAGAGAGAGAGGGCCGAGTAGAGATAGAGAGAGTTAGGGTTTTTGGAAAAATTGGTTGCTTGTGTGACAATTCACTGTGTGTCAATTGTTGTGTCATGCAACCCTAGGCATGATTTATATTTATAGATCATATCTAGAAATAAAACCATGTCAAGTCCAAAACCCATTAGACTCTTCTAACTATCCAAGCCCAATAATCAACATAGTATGTCATGAACTCATGAGGCCCAATAATGGGCCTCTAACTTGTTTAACCCAGTACTCTTATGTGTGACCTTGTAGGATCCATTCTATAAGGCTTTGGGCTATTAAGCTAGCCCAAAGATCAATTGTCATATCTAGCATCAAACATTGACGACCCCATAGAATGAACTTATTATCTCCATAATAGTGATCCTTGATATATCTAGTAATTGCACTTATCGAAGACATAACTCCTTCACCGCCCCCCTTGTCGAATTTGAAATTAAAACCCTAGAAATTGAAAAGCGAAAGGGGATCGGAAAGTAAGATTAAGTTTGAAACTCAAATCTAATGCAAAATTGGCAAATATGGGAGGTGAATTAAGGGGGATTATGACCGGTTTTATAATTGGATTTGTGGTGCCTTCGGGGTGGGTGGTGGTTTTTGGTGTTTATGGCGGGGTTTTCGGTAGGTCTAACTCCGTCTAAGGCAGGGTTTTGTATCTCGGTGGTAGTGTGGTGCATTGGTATGGTGGTTTCGGCGGCTGGTATGGTACTTTCGGTGGTTGATAAGGTGGTTTCGATGGTTCGTTCGGTGGTTGGTGGTTGTGTCGGTTGTTGTTGGTGGCGAACATGGGTGGTGGTGGTGGTGCAGTGGGTGATAATGATGGTCGGGTTGAGATTCTTAATTTACTAATTCTGTCATAATTAGAAGCCCATATTTTTGCTAATCAACTTTTTCATATTTTGTCTTGGGAAGTGTGCAAGCCTCTTTGTTGCACTTAACGTGTAACGGAGGTAGTATAAATAATCTTCATTACATAATATTTTCATGTTCTTTATTAATATTACAGATGTTCTTTGGATATAAAAAAATGGATGTTCTTTACAAGGTGTTTAAGAAAAGTGAACTGAATGTTTTTTTTTAAAAAAGTGAGTCTAACTTATACTCCTTCTGTTTTTAAATACTTGCTTCATTTTCTCTTTTCGGCCGTTTTTAAATACTTGCTCCATTTTCTTATTTATAAAGCTTTTACAATATTAATTAATTTCTCTCACTAAGTGGACTCAACAATATTAATTCCCGTATCCTCTCTCCTTAAATTCTCTCCACTACTTTTGGTTTTTTACAATTTTATATTCTTCCATTAACCCCACTATCTTCATATTGTATTACTTTCCCCAATTTCTCCTACAACTCCGCGCATGGAGAAATGGAGCAAGTATTTTAAAACGGAAGGAGTGTTATAATTATACACTTAAAATGAGGGTGAAAGATTGGTATGAGTATAATTTAATGGCCAATGAGCTTAAAATAAGAGTAATAATGTAATAATGCAACTTTCAACATAAACTTTCGAAATAGAATGTGTTGCAAGTATTGTGACATTTTCATTTTAAAGAAGTAGGAAGTAATAATTATAGAGTAATAAAAGCAACATTAGGGTAAACACAAGCAATACAAATTATATAAACACAAACACTAGTATAATCACAATTAGACCCCACAAAATGTTGAGTGAGTCCATTTCAAGATGAGTCCACCCACCCAATTCATAAAATTCCAACATTTGATGATGAATAACTTATATGAAATTTAATTTTCAAAAACTTTTATGAATAATGGTCAAAAACTTGTATCTAAATTTCAAAAGTCGAATTGTTCAAAAATTACTCCATATACAACATAAAATTAGTTTTTGGTCCGGGTAATGCCCCGGGTCATTATGCATATTATAAATGAGGATTTTAAACAAAAATAATGTGATAAAATATAAATATAGATTCAATTAGTTACATTTAATTCAGTACTCGTACTATTTATTGTCCAATTATTATTGAACATCGTACTCCCTGCGTCCCTTTACTCCTTATTTACATGCTTTTTTTTTGTGGTTTCAAAATTACATGTTTATTTCTATTTAAAGAATAATGTACTTTTTGACAATATACCCTCTTTTTGATGAGTTGTTATCAATTTCCTTTATGGAGTTTTTTTGTACTCATGACATCATTTTCCAACACAAACTTTCTATCTCTTCAATAGTTACCAAGGACTTGTTCACATTTACTGAATTGAGCTGAATTGAACTGAACTGAGCTGAATTGAACTGAACTTAACTTAACTGATTGGAGCTAAACTGAACTGAACTGATTAGAGCTGAATTGAAATGAACTGAACTGAACTAAATAGAGCTGAAATAAATATTTTATGAAAGAAGGAAATTAGGAGCTAAACTGAACTGGACTGCACTGATTGGAGTTGAACTAAACTAACTGAACTGAAATTAAGCTAAAGTGAACAGGGTTCAACTACCTTTTCTTTTTCTCTATCTCTTTCTAACCCCACATGCACATTTGTACTTTCCAATCATGGGTTTTAATGAATCTCTAAGTTCCTTAATTCACGTGAAAACGGGAAATATGCATGTAATTAAGGGACGGATGGAGTATCCAACATATATCTGGTATCTAAAATTATTAATTTGCTTCGGTCGACTTCAAGTGTATGGATATGATTAGGGTGTGTTCACTTTAGCTTAATTTCAGTTCAGTTCAATTCAGCTCTAATCAGTTCAGTTTAGCTCCAATCAGTTCAACTCCTAATTTCCTTCTCTCATAAAATATTCATTTAAGCTCAGTTTAGTTCATTTTAATTCAGTTCAGCTCCAATCAGTTCATTTCAGTTCAGCTCACTTTAGTAAATGTGAACATGCCTTAAGTTTTTTTAACAAAACATAAACATAAAATGTATCATTGTAGTAGCGGTTTAAGTTAAAATATAATAATGCTAATAATTCATTTTTTATATAGATGTTGAATAACTTATCTCTGTTTCACCTTGAGTTCAAACTCACACAAAACTATTTCTTTGATCAAGACCCACCAATAATGTACGGAGTAATAAATTTAATTGTTGATTTTGTTTTCATTTTTTAATGATTGTAAATGATAATTGTAGACAACATCTCCCTTTCTTTGGGTGGATTCTCTTCAAATTTTTTTGAACTTAAATAATTTTAGTGAAATTTAATGGAGGTCAAGGAATGATTGGAGGTATCTTGTTAGTCTTACATTTCTTTAATAATACAGAGGTACACAAAAAAATCAATTATTGAATCAAACACAAACATTGTTTTCTTTTTACTTGAAATATATAAATTTTTTCATGTTTGTCAATAATGAATAACTATAATTTACTCGTATAAAAATAATATTTTACTCCGTAATAATGTAAACATTGAAATAAATCTATTGGTAATACATTAATTTGAAAACATATTTTAAACAAAGGCGTACATGCCAAAAACTCACAATACAAACTGACAATTCTATTATCACTAAACAAGATTGAAGATACTACCCAAAAGTGATTTTTCCCCCTACCTCTTAGAACCCAGCAAATTGTTGATTTAAGACTCGTTTGGTTGAAAGTAGGCTCATTTGGTTGAAAGTAGGAATTGCTAATTCAATTTCGTAATTGGATTTCTTGAAAAAAATTTAATGGTTTGGTTAATCATTCGATTGGGAATTTCGATTTCCCTTAAGTTTCCCTAGAAAATAAAGCACCTCCACTTTGTAAGAAGTGGAAAATTTTGAATTTATCGACCAAACGTCAACAAATTTCAATTCGTGGACTTTTGATGTGTTTTTCGTCAACCAAACGACACCTTCATAAAAGAGCATCGAGTACTAACTTAGTCAATGCTAAGTTTTTAGGATTCTAACGAAACACTAGCCTAAACACAATTAGGTGGTGGTGGTTCCTCCTCGATCGATGGCGGTCGAGAACGTAGATATTCTTGCCACATAGCAGTAAATCGTGCTTTATCCCTCTTTAACTTCTTTCTCTCTTCCCTTTGAACAGCACACCACGTACAAAAGAAGCAAAGGATTATAACCCCAAAAATTCCGGCTACCACTAGTATTACTCCACCATGTTTTAACCATTTTATAGCTTCGTTATAGAACTCATAGGTTGACTTCATTGTTCACCCAATGTAATACTTCGAATAATTTTTTTCTTTCTTTTCCCTCGACTTAATTTACTTTGCAATATTTTAATTATAATATCAACTGGTTGGTTTTCAAATTAAAAAAAAAAATAAAAATATATATCAATTGGTTAAAACTCGTTTACTTAAATAATGTGTGATAAATAAGAATAACATGCATTCTTACCCCTTTTTGGAGTATAATTTTAAAGTAAAGTTTTAATTTTGTTTCCTTTTTAGTCCTTTATTATTAATTATATAATTGTTGTTTTGGAAACTGCTTTTATTTTTTACTTTTGTATTGACATTAAATGTGTAAACATATTTTGTTATGGAAACTAATATGATGGCAGTAGGAAAACCTGGCAACTTTTCCTTTGCTCTTTCTGGTAACAGATATATTGATTTGAATGTCTGCTAGCAATGTCGAACTCTTCAGCAAACTTCATCAAACGAGACAGTATTTGGGCCAGTTTTTGCTGAAAATGCAATTTAATTCCAGTCACTATATAGAACTAAGGCCCTAAACTCTTCACTTTAAAAAAATAATATTAAGTAAAAATAATTTCAGTTCAGTAAAAATAAGTTCAGTTCAGTAAAAATAATTTCAGTTCAGTAAAAATAAGTTCAGTTCAGTAAAATTCAGTTTTCTTAAAGAAGAATTATAATAGAAAATCAGTAAAAATAATTTAAGTTCAGTAAAAATAATTTCAGTTCAGTAAAATTAGGTTCAGTTCAGTAAAAATAATTTCAGTTCAGCAAAATTAAGGTGAATCAAACCGGGCCTAAGCATAGAAATAAATGAGATATTCACTGCATCAAGGAGATCCTTCAAGTGTTCATACATATATATTTGTGTGCCTTGGATAGTGTTTTGTTTCATATCTTTCAACAAAATACCTGTCAGTCTGCAAGCTCTTCTCTTCCCTGTGAAATCCACTCGGAAATTCGGAATAGAGCAATGACAAAATCTACAATAAAAAAATTCAATGAAAATATGATGTTAGCCAAGAATATCATGAGGATTTCCTGGTAAAAAAAATTGTGAGTACTCACCAGTAGTCGGAAGGGTTCCTCAGCCACTTTTGCTGCCAAGCCAAGGAGGTTGCACTGATGTTCATACGTATATGCACGTGCATATATGATCTATAAGATTGTAAGATAAAAATAAATCATCATGTGTTACAAAATTCAGACACAAAATTAAGTGGTCATCAGGTCGCCTTTTACATTGTCTAGGACAGCAGCAGCATCCATCCCAAACCTTTCAGCAACTGGCACAATACGATCTGGTCGACTGTAGTGTAGTCAGTGAAGAGAAAAATATTTTTAAATGTACTTCAGTTGCACAATTTTTAATCTGTTTCAGTACTACAAATTTAAATAGAATGACAAGAGAGAATACAAAGTTCCTTCAGTGTCGATTTAGGCAACGTTCCCACTTCCTCCTCTCATGCTAGTCAGAAGCTGAAGGTAAGCATTGCAAAACAAGTAAACTTTACCAGTTTAACTTGAGACTTCTACCCTCAAGGAAATCAAAACACATGTTTACATCAAACACATGCATGGACAAATTATCCTTCATTTACAGAACATGTGAGACCATTTCTTGTTTCCTTTAAAAAGCAACTGAGGCAATGTGTCACCGACTTACAAACTCAGTAATACAAGTACACTATCATCCTAATTTTGTCAATGAATACCCTGCAGTTTCCTGAAAATCCGATTCTAAGGTTGAAATGTTCGACTAAAGTAGCAAATTAACTGAAACAATAAAACCTGACTGTTAACAACCATACAAGTCAGAGGTTGTAACTTGTAAAGCGCTTTAATACTTTCATCAAATTGCAATCCCAACAAAAATATAGTCTAATCTAGTGGTTATTTCTTCTTAGTATGCTGATTAAACTTAATGCCTACAAAATTTAGCTGTTTATGTTTAAGATCATGAATCTGGCATACAATAGAAGCTTTACCTGTGTTGAGACGCATAGAGTATGTGCTAGCTGAGTTTTTTCAGAGCTGAGCAGAATCATTATCAAGCCATGAGGCCAGAAAATTAGATAGGTAACTAGTAAACATAATTAAATTTGCTTATGCTAGTATATAATCAATCAAAAAGTAAAATGTAGCCTTAAAACCAAGAAAAGAAGTAAAAATATTTGGAAATTAGTCCTCAGCTAGTCATTTTCTGAGCAAAAAATGATTCAACAAACACGGAAAACCCTGGAAATGTTGCCACAGCAGTAGGATGGGGAATCAAGAGCATAAACTTCATAAATTATAAACTTAAATCTATAAGAACAAGTGATAGTCCTTAACGGAATTTTCATATTTTCAAATTCCGAATTTTAAAATTTATCAAAGTACAGGATCTTACTTTGAGCAAATAATTGAGAAATCAGATTATCAAAGTACAGCATCACTTCCTGTAAGGTAACCATAATTTTAAAATTTATCAAAGTACAGCATCACTTCCTGTAAGGTAACCATAATTCTGGATAGATTAAAGCTTAACAACATTATTTGATTAGGTTCGAAACCAATTTGACAGACCGAATAATTGAGAAATCAGATTGCATCATTGCAGAGAACTTACCACAATCTTCTTGGCAGCTTCGCATATTTTATCAGAATATCAGCTCTAGCCTCAGATAATCCTTTAATACCAGTCAAATTCTTCACATACACAAAAAAAGAAACGGTATATTAAGAAGTTTCAAAGGCAATACGAGTAGTATAATTCTAAATTCAAATTTAGAATATCAAATATAAAATGATGGAAAACCTTCTTCGTCTGCATCATCAAGCCATTACAATGCAAGTGGCATCTTGAAGCATCTAGCCATCTAGTGAAAGATAATTTCTGAACATTAAGTATTATTTTCAAAAATTACGCCAAAAATTGCGAATAATTTGAACGAATGAAGCACTTATCGCAATTATTTTCAAATTAGACGAACTCCAAAAAAAATTCTGATGATCTAAACATATTGCTGGTTATCATTCCAGCTTAACTATGATTAAGCGATTAAAGAGTAAAAGTCTGGATTCACTAAAAAAAAAAAAAAAAGTGAACGAAAAATTTGAGGAAGATTTAAGCGATAAAGTCTGGATTGTTGATTCTGATTTTAAAATCTATGCGACTGTAATCATACGATATTTTTAGCGTTTAGCGAGAAAAACATTTCAGCTTTACGACAAATCAACTATTGAAGCACGTAATTGGAGTTCTACTAAATTTGAATTTGTATGCATTTCAAGAGAAAAATCAAAGGAAATTCAATACAGAGTATGAGCTATGAAATATAACCGTTCGTGAAAAAATTTAAAAATTAGGCGAAATAGGTAGAAAATATAAAAGCATTTCATAATAAAAATTAATTAAGCAATCGAAAGTAGAAACACATAATTTCATTTAAAATCGGAGAAAAATCTATATGAATTAAGCGATTAAGCCAGGTTTCAACCAAAACTAACAATAACAGCTAGAAAAACATAGTATCTTTCCAAATTTATGCAACTGGAATTCTTGGGCAATTTCTTTTGAAATTCAAATTTCATACCAAAATCAAGTGAATCGGTATAAATTTAGAGAGAAAATCATTAATCATACACTTATCAATAGCTTCGAACAAGTCCTCTTCATCTTCGATTTCTTCTCGTTGAACAAGCTGCAACTGTTGGCTCTGTTCTTCAGATCTGTATCAAAATTTGAAATTATGAAATTTCATATAAAAGATCTTCAGATCATAATATTATTATTGCAGCGAATTTCTAGTTGCGAAGTTTGGAAGAGAACTTACTTGAGTGCGTACATTTCCGGCATTAGAGATGAAACTTTGATGGATTTTGAAAGAAGTGTGAATTTAGAAAGAGAAAGAGGTTGAGGTTTTTAGAGAGAGAAATTGTAATTGTGATGACTGATGAGTGGTTTCGCTCTTCGGTGCTCCGGAAGGCGGGAGGTCTCTTTTTATAGATGATGGATTAGGCGCGGAATTAAATGGAAGTTGAAGTCGCTATTACCTATAGTCCTATTTTAGGCTCAAAATTCTTTTTCTAAATTCGGATTAACACTTAAATACTTAACAAACAAGAGTGTACCCGTGCAAAATGCACGAGATATAAAGAAAAAAAATTTAAAATATGGATAGTTGATTTTAATGTTGTAATTGATACTTGAGCTATAATGATCGATTTTGGACTGGTCGGTTATGTTGAATCCTAATTAGCTTTGTTGTATGAGTATTAATAATCATATTAATAATGTGCTGACACCTGTTGTGCTATATTGAAATACGATACTTTCGGCGTTTTTTTTTATTATTGCACCATAGGGGTTGGGTACAAATATTTTGATAGTGGAAAAAAAGTAAAAGAGAGAAAGGTAAAAATACAAAATTGCCCATGTGACATATTGATAAACTAAAAAGTAAGTGTGTAAAAGTAAAACTATGTTGGCTATTTGAAGTGTGAACACAAATAATTTTTTTCCTAAAGAGGAAATGGTGCAATATTTGTGAAACTCCCTAAAAAGACAAGTGGTGCAATAATAAAAGAACGAGGGAAGTATTTTATGCTTTGCTTAGAAGCTCAAAAAATGGGGTTTTACTCTTTTATGTCGGTAGCCAAACAATGCTATTATGGAGTTTACTTTTTCAAAGTTATAGAGGTTACCCGTTCAGTGTTATAGGGGTTACTCGTGTTACTCTGTTAATGTCACATGGGTTAGTGTCTTGCTCTAGGAGTTACATACTTTGTTCTAAGGCCAGTTGCACAAAAACGTGTTATACTTTTTTTTTAAAATGATTAAAGAAGTGGAAAATGTTTGGAGGATAGTCCCTAAAAAATGCATATAATTGAAGGGTTGGAGATTTAGAGTAATATAGTGAATTGTTAATAAATGAACTGTATACTTGTGTTAATGCATGATTTTGTATTATACTATGTACCAAAAAAAATACTTGTAAAACAAAGTGAAATGTTACTACGTAGTGTTTAAAAAAAAAGTGAAATGTTAGGGATTTTGAGTGCTATAATGAATTGTTGATAAAAAAAAAATGTATACTCGTGCTTATGCATGTCATATGTTATACTACGTATCAAAAAAAAAAAAACCACAAAGTGAAATATTAGTAGTAGTCCCTTGAAAAAAAAAACAAAAAGGAAATAGTGAATGGGTAGTTTTTGATTTTATTTTAAAAAAAATGATAAAAAAAATTAAAATAAAGTAGTAGATTGGTAGTTATTTTTTTCTTTTTTTTTTTTAAAAAAAAAAAACACTAAATACATGAGAGTTGAACATTGGAATTTTGGAGGATTCTCGTTAAAGCGACTCTGCAATTATATACTACGTATAAGATTATTTAGAAGTGGGGGAAGGGCCAAAGGGTAAGGAATTCCTCAATTCAAGTGTCATTACTCATTAGTGGGGTTTGATTCCCTACAAACTTTGTCACTAGAGAGTAGAGCAATCTCAATTTGGTATAAAGAAAAATACAGGTGGTTATATGTTTTTGATAGAAAAAAAAATGTATAGAGTAACATAGAGATGGAAATTAAAAACAACGGTGTAAATGAAAAAAAAATCGTAAATAAATTTGATTTAGGGTCTGTTCTTGTTGACTGAACTCAGCTGAACTTAACTGAACTGAACTGAACTGAACTGAACTGAGCTGAACTGAAATGAATATTTTATAAGAGAAGGAAATTAGGAGCTGAACTGAACTGAGCTGAGCTGAACTGAACTGAATTGAACTGAATTTCAACGTAAGAGAACAGGGCCTTAGTTTGATTCATTAAAAAAAAAACACGAAATTGTAATTGCTAGCTAATTTGTTATGGAGTTGAATACATTGAAGGAAAATAAAAAAGTTATGTTAGTTTAAGTCAATTTTTTTAAAGGCATATAAGTTATCAAAAGTAATTGAGGTAATAGTATGATAAAAGATAATCGTGTTAATCGCGTTATGGAGTGCACATAAACTCCAGAGGCGTGCTTATCTTGGAGGGCAAGCGCTTCTAGTCTACTGCACTGGGAGGTAACGCGGAATCGACTTTTAGATTAGTGGTTTTCCACGACACGGCTACTGTCAGTTTGGTTCATACATCAAGAGATAAGTAATTTATGTTTTATTGCTTATTAGAATAACACTATTAACAATGAACAAAATTTAGTTTCCTAGTTCTCTCTCTACCCACTTTCTCTTTCTTTCAACCTAGGAACATTTTAGTGATCATATTTTTATCCAACCGATGATAAATAAAAAAATAATAAAAAAAAAAAAACTCCACCATTCTCTCTTACTTTTACTAATTACACTCCTACATTTTTCTATCTATATTAGGGACTAATTTTATTCTTTTTGTTTTACTTGTCTTAAAACCCCACATAGTTACTACTCCGTATTTATCTTCAAAAGTGCTCATTCTATAATCAATTTTCATTTTACTCAAAAGTATTTTTGCTTTACTCATTAATATAAATTATTTTTGTCTTAATTTCACACAAAATTTTACTCATAAGCAATTTTTTTTTTCTTCTCATTTTTGGGAATGCACTCCTTGCCCTCCTAAATCTTCGAGCTTTGCATTGACATTTTGACATGACAAGTCACGGTAAACCACGATGATTCTCAAATTTTTTTACTTTTATTTTTGTTCAACTTCAAGGTAAACTTTTTCACTCTGGTAATTTAAATAAATCACAATTTGGGGTTAAATTTCTGTCAATTTTTATACTGTCTAACAGGACTACCACGCATCAATCGGTGCTAGAAGACTTAGGTAATCCATCCCTTTGCTTCTCCTGTTTCATTTATTTTTGTTGATCTAATAATACCCTTTTCATAGTTTGTGAAATTATGGGATGCAGTTATAGTTGATTATTTTATCTAAGATAGAAGATCGTGAAATGTCCGAATTTCTAAGCTATAAATCGTGATTTATGGTTTTGATGCGTTACATTTTCTCTTAATTGTATATACTCTGTGTATTTTACTTATTTTAGTTTGAATTATACTATGGAGGAGGTCTAATGGTTTAAGTCGTGTTTAGTTCGTCTTACGGCCTGTTTCGTTCAGCTTAGCTCCATTTTAGTTCAGTCCCTATTTTCCTTATATTATAAAGAATTCATTTCACTTCAGTTCAATTTAATTGTTTTCAGTAAATCGGAACAGGCCCTAATTTCTGTTTACATGAAAAAAAAAAACAAAGTTACGAGGGTTGTATAAAATAAGTTTAGAAGAAATGAGTTAGATAACGCTAACTCATAAAAAATAGTTAGGATTATTTAAGTTTAAATTATATCCACAGAAGTTTAGTTGTTCATATACATCTTAAAAAGTCAGAAAAAAAAAAAAAAAAGGTTGGGTTTGAACTACCCCTTTTGCCTAGGCTCTAATATATGTGACCATAGAAATATTGTTTATATTATGGTAGTTAGGAAATACGAAGTACTCCATTATTTTTAGAGTAATGGAAATTGCAATTTGAGTGAGATGTTAGTGGACTTATATAAGTCGATTTGTAAAAGTATATTGGCGATTGGATATTTGGAATCAAGTGAAATTGCTCAATTAAATAACTTAATGCTACCTTTTTTTTTTTAGTTGCAACAAAGGAGTATTATTTGTGATACATAAAAAAAATTGTTTTGTTGCAACTAAAAAGATACGGAGATGGTACAAAGTATTGTATTTTTATGAGGTAAAAATAATTATAATGCCTTTATTAGCAAATGATATGCTGCATTTGATATTTGCAAAAAATTGTTGTACTACATTGTACAAGTTAAATTTTTGAACCATTTTTCCATTATCGACATGAGTATGTCCTTTCATGGTGATGATTGGAGAAAGTTGTAAATTGAAATCGAAGTTCAAAATAGTTTTTTGTGTTGCTACTTGCTAGTTTATCCTAACTAATCTTGAAACTTGTTACAATAGTAGAGTGCTTATGAGTGATGAACTTATGATTGGTTCTGAATCTATTGAAGAAAAGAATGTAATTGTTCTGTAATCTTTACTGCCATTAGCCAATGAACACTTATAGACACCAGTTCTGGTGGTATATAATATCGTGCTTTGTCAGTTTGTTGAACAATGATTATAATTCAAAGCTTTTGAATCCCTTTTACTTATGGTTTGGGTATGTCTCTTGGCCTATCGATTTATCTTGACAAGTACAGGAGCCAGAAGTTTTTATTGAATAATTGTTTACACTTTGCTCTTGATCATAAATGTAATACATATATGTGTCTACCACATCCCTCTTCCTTCATCCAAGCTTGTGTCTACACGACTACACTTCATATGATATCTGCCTGAATTTGAGAAATTATAACTATAGCATAGAATTTAGGCTAGGATTTGAGTTCTGCTTTGTTATACGTTAAGGGTTGGTAATAGAATATATATGCCTATTCTCTCTGGAATTTTTATGTTTCCTTCACCCACCTTTTTTTTTTGAAAATGTTTCCTTCACCCACCTTGAAGCGTGTTTTCTGAATAACTGTCACTTGAGTTTTATTTTCCCTTTTTATTATAGATGGATAACTTAAATCAGCTCTACTTTTTTGGTACATTGTTATTACTTTACCGGCTCTCATTCTTTTCACCAGGGTCCTGTAATTTCCTTGAGTGAGCACCATTCCTCTGAGACTGTTGCAAAGTTGCACAAACAAGCTTATCACTTCAGCAAGTGATCACAGTAGGCTTATAACTCTGATTTCTATGTTTGAGTTGGTGCTCGTATGTAGATTCACCTCTTTATCTTTGATAACTAATTAGGTGGAGAGTTAACTAGTTAATTGTCTATAGAAAAACTTGCACTGGTCTTGTGGGAAGCTCCAATAAGGAACTCCCTCCAAAAATAAACGTATGCCACTAAATGCAGCGAGCACACGGTATTCTTTAGTAAAAGGCGAAAGAATAGTTCGCTCTGTGCTCACTGCATGGCTGCGTGAAGTTAACTGTAACAGGTTTTGTTATTTATACTTTAAAGTCCGAGCTTGATCTTCTTTCTTGACTGATGTGGGACTTTTGTGACTTTCCCTTGTATCTTTTTGTGATCTGTGAAATATAATTTCAGAGAGTAGGAATATAACTATTGTGGCTTTTCCACAAACCAAGAGATTTCTTCTCTTGCTTTCTTAAGTTGGGAGGACTCTATTGACTGACAATGCCACTTGTTGAATGCTACTTCCTACTTTCCTAGATATGTATCCAAATTCCAAACACTTTTTTTTCTTTCTTTCCTAAAAGGAGATATTCAATACGAAGTATATCTGAACCTTTTGTTTTGCTTTTGAGTTTTTATGTTGAAGGGAACCTTGGTATACTTTGGGCTATCAGGGCTAAAATTAAAAACGATGAATAAAGAGATTCATCTGATTCCTCTAGATTGCTAGAGTTTGTACTATGGTTACGTTGAGAAAATTACTTTTGAATTTGGAGATTTAAAATGGCACTAATGTATTATTTCACAGATGTAATTTTATGTCATTGCAAAAATATACTTGACCCAAACATAGTGAAGCCTTCATTTACAGAATCTGTAAAACATGATAGACCTTAGAAAATTAGACACAATTAGGCATGTGTAGGAGCAACTTGCTTCTTTGCCAACTCATCATATCTCCCTGTGTCCATGAAAATCTTTCTGTTAGGCTTTGGCACACATTAAGGAATTTAGTAGGGTGGGGGTGAGAGTAAGAGAAAGAGAGTTAGTAGAGGGATCTACTTTACATGATTTGAGTAGGAAATTTTCATTTGCAAGTAATAGGAATATTTTTGCAGACATCCTGAAAAGGATTACAGGAAAATTATTTGTGGACATATAATGAGTATAATATATGTTAGGCTATTTACATTACAATTGCCTATTTGGACTTATTGGTTGTTTTTATATGAAAATCAGGAGTGAGCAGAATGTGTTGTTTATCATCTGAGTAGCAGGCTTTCAGTAACAAAAATTACAACATGCATTTAAATTTTGGAAGTATAATTGGTCAGGGGTTGCGCGGACGCAGACCCCCACTATCACAAATTATGACATACACTCTTCCTCTTGGGAAGATGTTAGGCTAGTGCCCCTCCTAATGTGCAATGGAGGCCACCAACCTAGGCCATGAGCCTTCTTGATCGCCCATAGACCTTGTCCAGGTAAGTATGTTTCTTTATGTTCTACACTTTTGTTTTATATCTATGATGTTCTTTACATTTCTGTTATTTCATTGTTGTGGGACAATGAACAAATTTCCTTAAACTTTGCTTAAAAACCTCAAAATGGGATCAATATAGTTGGTTATGTAATGGTCCATTTTGGTGTTTAGACAATTGCGGTATAGAGGATTGAAGTTCAAAACCTTGTCTACCGTTTGGTACCTTGTCTATGGCTGGTTCATGGGGTGGTACTTGTGTCTGATGCTCTGAAGATACGACTCCTGATTTTGTGAATAATCAATGTGAACCTTTTGTTAAGAGTTTATTTATTCTAGGTTATTAGTATAGACAGCTAAAAATTTGTTAAGGTCTGCTTTTGATTATGTTATAACTATTTTTGTTTTCTTACTGCTGTTGATGGTCTATGGCTGTTGATGGTCTGCTTTTGTTTTTGAAGAGAGCACAGAATCATTTCATCTATATCCTTTTTTATTCAGCCAGCTCAGCTTCTGATTCCTATTTCGGTGGTATTTTAGAGAGTAGAAGTACTTTAGATGATTATTGCTTGTAAAGAAAAAAAAAATGTTGTGATTATGTTATAACTATTTTATTTATCTTACTGCTGTTTGTTCTAATTCCTCAATTCTTTGACACTTGGATATGTGGAGACATGTAGTGTTTGTAACTGGTGGTAAGGCTATTGCTATGACAAGGGTATCATTCTTTACCATTTGTCGGGGCTAGTACAAAGTATATAATGTAAATTATCCTAGCTTGTTTGAGGATGATTTATTCTTAGCTTCCGGTCTCATGATTTTTGGTTTATCTTTTCTTACAATTTGAACAAGCGATGATTTCTAGTTTCAAAGAAACATGATTTATGCCTTAGTAGGCTGTAGGCTTGTAGCCTTATGCTTAATATGCCTCAAGGATTAATCAGTTGTAGTTGCAATAAGGTGGATGACGTAATGATTGTTCTTTCCTGTTTCTTTAAATTTAGCCAACACATTATTAGTGAAATGCATTAATTTGTGTATCATTCTTTGTCATTTATTACTTGATTGCATCCATTACAACATTTTCCAGTTACTCATTTAATTAAATGAAGATAATGCTTTGTACTGGAAATATTGTCAAAGCTCAAGCTTGTCTGTTGTGGTAGTTGTGCACTAACCTTTGCTAGTTCTTGATGAGGGATTTTTTTTTTTTTTTTTTTTTTAAATTTTGGAGAGTGCTTAGTGGCAATAAATTTTTTTTCTCTAGTTGTTTTTGTCCCATTTATCTGCTCTTAATGCTTTACTTTATGAAAAACAAGTAGGCTCCTAACTACGCAAAAGCTGTGTGTATTGAAAGGCACTAATTGTTTAATTTGTATCTTTTAAAGTTGTTTCTGAAATCATCTAAATTGTTTGTGTTAAATTATGGGCTTAATCTTTGATTTGGAAATAGATCATTCCACATGTTGAATATTGACTCTGTCTCTCACAGACAGTCGGTGGTTGAGGCTGGAATGATCAAAAATTCGATAGAGGACTGTTATGGCTTTCTTTCTCTTTTGGCGGTAAGATCAGTTTTAGTATCTGTTATTAAGTCTTTATCAGCACTTCAGCAGAATAGTTGATTTGTGGGTCATTTACCCACAATGATGTTAAATTAATTAAAGGGGATACTCCATTATTGTAGCTTGCTTACCTGGATCTTAGAGCATCGCCCTTGAATCACATTACTACACGGGCTTAAATACACCCCTATGACTTGGCTTGAAAAACAATTTTAGAGGTGTTAGGCTATTAAAATTTACTCTAGCAATTTTGACATCACCTGTGTATGTTGTATACAACTGTTTTTGTCAATGGTAGGACGCCAGGACTATGTATGCTTAACGCTTTAGTTAGGGTCCTTAACTACTACTACACTTGAAGTATGAAAGAAGAATTTTAAAGAGCATAGAGAGCACTTCCTAAGCATACCTTGTCAAACATCTAATCTATAGATGGATATTATACGAGTTGTTAGTATGATAATAGAAAACCAAAGTTATGGAATGAAATTCTAGCAACATGTGTGTAAATTTGGTTCACATTAAATATGTTTAAGTAATAGTATACACCTCAGTTTTTAAATTTATTTTATCCATCTTTGTTTTAAACACTTCAAACAAGATCAAATGGGGAGTCATCTTCGCAAGCTGTTCAGAATGGCTGGCATTGTTTCATGTCAGAGTTGTGAACCTGATTGCCAAATTTCCCCTCCATGGCGGATCAATTCTATTTTCTTGTGCTCTGTTTTGTCTGAATGGCTCTGAAGTAATTTCCAAAAAAATAAAAATAAATTAGCAATGCATAGTCTTAAAGTCACTAGTACTTGGTGACGGATCGTAGAATTTTTGAAATGTTGGTGAGGTTTGTTTTGGAACATGTACTAATGGTACTCAGAAAGTAGTTCACTTAAAAGATAGGGGATGGTAATTTGAGATATGCAAATTTCTTGGTTATTGGAGGCTGATATGGCCATATAAGGGGACTAGGTGTGAAGCCTGGATATCCCACATTGAAACAATATGAAGATACCACTTTGTTTATATTACACAAGCTTCTGCTATAAATTGTCTCTTCGGAGACATCTGATAAAATTGGAACGATACAGAGAAGATTAGCATGGCCCCTGCGCAAGGATGACACGCACAAATCGAGAAATGGTCCAAATTTTTTTGACCTTTTTGCCCCTGTTTATAATGTCTACTGAAAAATAGTGTATAGAGACATCTGATAAAATTGGAACGATAAAGAGAAGTATAGTATGGCCCCCTTTTTTTTTTGACCTTTTTGCCCCTACTTTTAATGTGTTTTGCCTTTTTTTTCCCCCTCCAGTGATTTAAAATTCTTTTGCTGTTGACTGCATTACATGCTCTCTACCATGAAATTAGCACTTGATTGTCTGCTATAAAAAATTGTGTATATAGAAACAAAATCTGTGTTCCTTCCTTCTCAACTTTCATATCCACTAATTTGATTACTAGTGGTCGCTGTTGAGTACACTGTGAGTACTGTGTTGGATTATGCTCTCCTAGCCGTATTGTTTTATTTGTGCTGTAGAATGACTTTCTTTTCTTTTTTCTTATTTATTCAAAGTGACAGTGTTCCATTTTTTGCCTTTGATGCTTAATTGAACATTTACCACATCTTGGATGACAATCACAATTAATGATGTAGTTGACCGCCTATTTCCTTATACAACCGTTGTACCACCTAGCATATGCATGTTACATTAGACCTTCTTACAAAAGGGGAAAAATAAGGAAGGGGAGGGGGGTTATAATGTTTTTTTTTTTTTGGTTAAGAGAAGGTGGGTTGTACCACCTAGCATATGCATGTTACATTAGACCTTTTTGAGTAGACAAGATAGTAAGATATTGAGTCTACTTGAAAAGTAACACAGTGAGGTCGCTGAATTCTTCATCTTGAGTGCTATTTCACCCAACAGGCAGATCCTGAGATCCTTATTCTACTTTCAGATGGTCTCTATCTATTTTGGGCTATCTGATATACATCCGGTTAAATTGGAATAGTTATGGCAAATAAAATGTGATTTGTGTGACAAACTGAGAATGAACCATTGCTTAAGATGAAAGTGATGATCCTTGGAGATATTTTGTGCCCTCACTTTTTGACTTGTAACAAATACATAATTATGTGAGTTATCTACTTCGTACAATCATCTTAATTGCTGACTGTGAATTTCTCCAGGTATCCATGCGGACATTTTCAAGTTTGATAATCCCACATCAGAAAGGTGAAGGAAAAGGTCAATGCCACATGAAAAAAAAAGGTAACTTGTACTAAGAAAACCATACCTTTCTCAGCCTTTGGGCTAATGTCAAGTGTAGTGTCTGTTCTTATCAGTTTAATATCTGTTACGTGGTTTAACTTGCATGTAGAGGGAGGAAGTGGCTACCCTATTATGAGATTACTTATTATTGGTACATAAATCTAAGTCACTTAATCACATGACTTCCCAAGTTGCCTTCCTATTTTTTTAGGGAGGGGTGTTGGTGTTAGGTGTTAGGTTGCTGATGGAGGGGGGAGGAGATTTTAGGTTGGGTGGTGGAGAAGAATGTGGTCGGCGATGGTGGGGGAGGAGGTCGGTGGTGGTGGTTTGGGAAGGTTTTTTTTTTTTTTTTTTTTAAAGAATTATTGATGGATAGATAATGTGCTAATTACACCAATTAGTTGTGACTATGGATAGATAATATGCTACAAGCCTACAATAGGCTTTTTTTTTAATTGTCGGGGGCTCGGCCGCTCGGGGCTCATTAAAGAGTATGAGTTTAAAAGTTCGAATTATTAGGAATCATGGAAAGGCGAGATTTTTATTCGCGAACCACTAAAAGTTAGGGATTTTAATACAATTTTTTTGGAACATGGTCTCTTTACTCATGTTAAAGAGGGGTATAAATGTAGAGTGCCAAAAGATTATCCTTAAAAATTTTATATGATATATAGAAAATTCGTCCAGACGTTCTTTTGATTGTATCAACGTATGGGACAAAATCAGTAGAGTGCCAAATCCTCGGATACGAATCATACGACGCCAATATATGGTGCAACATTGTATGATTTGTATCATCGGTAAGAGCAAATAGGTTGTATTACCAAAGTGTGAAATTGAATAACTCTTTTCAAGCATTCCAAATAGGGAAGAATAATTAAAAAGAAATGAAGTAAACTCATGGACAAAGTTGGATTATGTGAACATTGCAATGACTATAAAACCGACGGATGTTTTTGTGTAATAAACCAATTTCTTCATTTGCTCATGATGGAAGTTTGGATATGCACATTAGCAGCTAACCTACTGTTATACATTACTCCCTCCGTTCACAAATGATTTTTCCTGCACTCCGTTTAGGATGTCCACACATAATCTTCCTAAAAATGAAAATTTTTACACTCAATCCATGTGATGTGGACCCCTTTATTAAATTTCTTTTTCTCACATTCCACTCCACCCTAATACGTAGTAAATTTCTGAATATGTATGTCTAAATTTAACAAGAATATTATTTGTGAACGCATGGAGTATTTATGTGTGATAAACCTTTCTATATTCGTCACAAAACCATCGACCTTTCTAGGACTTTGGTCTTTTATTGCTAACACACTCTTTATCATTTACTCTGAGTTCTAGAAGTTTTCTGTGAACAGGACTCCTAATAAGAAATGATATTGATTTCCTATCCAAAACTGAAGTTCTGTACCACATCGAAAAGAAATAACGAGGGTGCGGAAACATTATGGAATAAAACGCAGGAGATGAAACAGAACAAATCATACCTTTCTCGGCCTTTTGGCTAAGATCAAGTGTAGTATCTGTTCTTATCAGTTTAATATCTGATACGTGGGTCAATGACTCACAACGATATTAAATTTATTTTTTAAGAGGGGGAATCCACCACAGTAGCTTGCTGCTGGGATTCTCAAGTGTTGCCTATGTGTTGCACTACTGCACAGGCCTGGCACTCCTCACCAAATCATTATATCAAATTTCTATCTGAGGAGCATATTGCATATATTAAGGTGTAGGCAGTTAGTGTGTTATCAATACAGAGATTAATTTGTGCAAGGATGAATATTTGATATTTTGATCATATTTGTTGGAAAATTTTGAACTGTTAGTATGTTAGGGGGTCTCTCTTTTCGTTGGTTACACTTAATTCTTGTTAAATTACAACATTTTTGAGGTGGTGGTGTTTTTTTTCATTGTGAAATGGACTTGTTGCAGCAGCTGTCACACACATCTTGAAGGTTTTCTGCTTCAAAACAGGTCACATGGTGATATATGAGATAAGGGGTAATAACTCTATGAGGTTATATAATATCTGATATAAGGTCTAATAAAGTCCGATAAGGTAAGGGTTGATTAGTTCAGATATTCTTATTATGTCAATCATAAGGGTAAAATTGATACTTCAATGAATTAATTGGGATATGTTTGTAAATTTGCTAGGCTGTCTATTAGTTTATCTTCTTCCTTCCCTTTTCCTCTTTTCTAGTACTTTTTCTCTCCTTACTCCTCTAACTCACATCAACAATGGTACTCAACTCCAAAATTTTCAACCTCATTTCTTCACCATCACAACCAGCATAATCACTGACATTTGCTATCTCATCCCTTTTGCCGTCGACATCACTTTTTTCTACATTTTCAAAAATTCAACTGATGGAGCTTCAATGGAGGACATAGTCACCCCTACCCTTTGGGGTTGACCATGCCCCTAATTTCACCTTTCTTTCATAGGGTTAAAATCGGGGAAGGTGGGCGGAGATTGGGGAAGCTTCAATGGTGGTCGAGGTCGGGGAAGCTTTAATTTAATGGTGGTTAAGGTCGGGAAGCTTCAATGGTGGTCGAGGTTGGGGAAGCTTTAATGGAGGAAGAAGCAGGAAGCTTTTCAATGGAGGGAATTTTAATGGTGGTGTTGGTGAAGTAACGACAAACGGTCGTTAAATCAGCGTTATCTTCACTCATGAGGTGGCATGGAAACTGCTCTTCAATATTACAATAATGCCATTAGATTGACGAATTTCGTCAATCATAAAGATTAATTGGGGCTGGCTCATTTTTAATCTTCATGTTTAGTCTTTTGATGAAGCTTCTACTTTGGACCGTCATACTTCTTTAGTTCCTCCACGGAACTGAAAGCTGCGTTCCCATGCTGTTTGCTTTATATTCAGGCTTCTTCAAGTCTTTTATGATCCAATCCTTCTCTTAGCCCTTCTTTTGGCCTATAGTTAAGAATTGATGTACCACATCGAAAAGAAGTGATGAGGATACGACAACTTCAGGAAATAAAAGGCAGGAGATGAAATAGAACAAATCATACCTTTCTCGGCCTTTTGGCTAAGATCAAGTGTAGTATCTGTTCTTATCAGTTTAATATCTGATATGTGGGCCAATGGCCCACAACGATATTAAATTTATTTTTTAAGGGGGAAGATCCACCACAGTAGCTTGCTACTGGGATCTTCAAGCGTCGCCCATGCGTTGCACTACTGCACGGGCCTGGTGCACCCCACCAATACTCAGCTCAAAAATTTCTCAAAATCTCTCAAGCTCTATGTATTTGTATTCCGTACTCTATGGCATGGACAAATTTATGTTGTTTAAGTAATATGTTTCTTATTTTTTGTTACTAATCTACTAAGGCTTGATGGTCAATTGTTCAAGAAGTGTTCTTTATTACTTAAATTGACCCTGTCTGATTACTGTCTGATCAAATAATTGTCGTTTGTACAGCGTTTACAATTTGAGTAGTGGTGGAAGTGGAACATGTAGTGACTGGTGTTGAGGTGGATCCAATGAGAAAATATTTTTCTTGGCACTTGGCAGTGCAAATTCCTGATATGTTTTTAGGCTCTTAGACAATTATGTGACCGGAAATCCATTGTGGTACTGTAACTTACATCTGCAATTCTACATCAACATACATTATTGTGGTGCTGAAATAGTTTTTTTAACTTCACTATTTAATTTTCACTTCAGGTACATCCTATAAATTGGAACTATATTGTGAAGATTAGCATGGCCTCTACACCAAGATGATACACAAAATCCAGAAATGGTCCAAATCTATTCTCCTGCTCTTATTTTTATTCTTTTGCCCCCCTTTCTGCTGTTATTTTATAATTTTTACAGGAAATATATTTTCTTCCTATTTTGTTTAAAATATTATCTTTAATAGCATACCTTCTATATTTTTAAAGCTGTCTTGAGTTTTGATGGACATGGTATGCTTTAATGTGGCTCATGACATACATTTTCACACAATGTGCTTGATATGGATTGACTATGTCAAGTCAATCCTTAAAATTGTTATTTAGCTGTAAATAATTTGTACGTATACCAACTTATACGTACAAATTATTTATAGCTAAATAACAATTTTGAAGAGGAGACAGTGGATATAGAAGAAATAGAAAATTGGTGTTTGGTGACGAGTTATATACACTACTAGGTACTGAACTTTGCAAAATGTATTAGGCAAGGTACTGAACTTTCATTTGTATCAGGCTAGGTACTTAAGGGAGAGTACTAAACTTTCCTACCTACAACAACTGGTTAACAACCAAAAAAAAAGGAAAAAATAAAATTCTGACAAAATTTATGGAAGGTACTGAACTTTCAATTTTTTCCAAAAATGTTTGTTGCAGCTCCATTGAAGGTCTGTTCCAAAAACCTTCCTTCATCTTTGAGCTACCAATAATTTCATAATTAATACTCCGTATAAAAAATTAAACCACAATCGAATATTATGCGATTCAATAAACTTCAAATGCGATTTTGGGTATAGCTCGGTACACAAATATCTCTGCAACATTGAAATTTAAATACAATAATTAATAATAACACAATCAAATAAAATCTCATTAATTATAACAAACTAATTAACCCCAAATTACAATAATTAACCATAAAAAAATCATTAACTTACATGATAGACTTGAGACTTAGGGTTTAGAGGAAGCCAAAATTTGAAGGTTATTGAAACCCAGATCTACAAAGTCCATCTTCCGACTTCCACCATACAAAAATTGACAGGAGGAATTAAAACATCATCATCTTCTATTCTCTCTCCATTTTTGCCACCATCTTCAACCTTCTTTTTCTTCTCCTTTTTCTGCTGCTTTTTCCCACAATGTTATGCTCATTCTTCAAGAGTTTTATATAATTATTAAGTTTTATTGATTGGAAAATTACTCATAAATAATTTGCAGACGAAAAGAAGAAAGGGGCAATTATCAAGAGCAGCACTACAAGAATAACCCTAACAAATAATCGAATTGTTATCGAAAATTAATTCCCACATTATTTATAATAGAGGCAAATTAATGAAAATTTTATACTTGTATAAGAAAACCCCATAAAATAATCCAAATTGAATTGGGGTTGTAAAATGAAGGAGAAGATAAGATAGAGAAAGTTGGATGAAAGAAATATAATATTCTAGAGAGAAAAAGTTGTTATCCATGATTTTTTTTTTTTTTTTTTTTTTTTTTTTATTTTATTTTTTTTATTTTTTAAATCAAATAAATCTGTTACAATAGGTTACCAACTGAAAGGTTACCTCCAGCCTAGGTCAAAGTACTCTATTTGATACAAATGAAAGTTCTGTACCTTAATTGATACATTTAGCAAAGTTCAGTA